GAAGTGGCAGATACGATTAATATCTGCACCGACGGTTCTAAAACAAAACAAGGCTCAGGATTTGGAATATACTCCTGATCCTTAAACATTAACATAACGTGGGCTGTGAGCAATAGTGCTAGTGTAGTTCAAACAAAGCTCACGGGGATTTTTATAGCAGCAAAAGAAATCACCAGAAACAATATCACTGGAAGGAACATGCTTAACTATACAGATAGCAGACAAGCACTACTCACTTAGGGTTAGTACTAAAGTGTCACGAAATTTTGGCCGAAGTATCCATCAACAACGTGATCATCTTAAGATGGATCAAAGGTCACGCCACATCGAAAGGTAATCGTCTTGCTGATTAACTGGCTAAAAAAGTAGCCAACCAAATACTTTTTGGACCTGGTCCTTCTATTGGCCTGACAAAATCGCTAGGAACAGACCTAATTAAAGTACATTCGTCTGTGAAATTCAAGAAAAGAAGGGATGAAACAAGAATCTGCAGATTTGTCAGACAGCTTTGAAGTTATTCAGACAATACTGCAGCTAACAAGTACTTGACTATGACTAGACAGAATATGCGCCTAGTCACAGGCATTCTAACAAGTACGGAAGCATCTCTATATCATATGGGTCTCAGAATTCGCACTCTGCAGAGGGTGCGAACAAGAAAATGAGATCATCGAGCATATCCTCTACTATTGCTCGACGCTCTCATTTATTAAGAGATTTGTGTTTGGCGAGTATCAGCTAAAACCGGCCGATATAATAGAAGCATTTCTTGGCGACGTTGTCAACTACATTAAATCTGTAGGCTGGCTCACGAGCTAGGATGTGCCTTAGACTGGGCCAAAAAAATTGACTATTTTTTTTTGAAAAATATATCAAGAATGTCATTCAGGATGACAAAAAAAAATTCGTGAAAATTTGAGTCCTTAATAATAATTTTAAGAGGTCTATCATCGCTATTTTTGATTTTTAGTCATAATTTGATGTTTTACGTTAGAACTGTCAAAACATTAAAGTGAAAAAATTCCTTTTCACTTATTTTTATATAAAATTAAATTCTCTACAAAAAAGGTCTGATTGAAAATTTTCAAACGAGCCGTTTCCGAGTAATTGAGCTTAATAGATCGATGTGTTTTTTCGATTTGTCCATTTTACTTTGAAATTTTGTAACTGATGAATCAATAAATATTAAAAAAAGCTCACGTTGGATTCTTATAGGAAATTTAATGTTCTACAAAAAAGGTCTCTTAAAATTTTTGCTTAAATTTAATTGTTTAAAAGTTATTCACGATTAAAATCGAAGAAAAAAATTGAAATTTTTGCTGGGATTGAAATATTATAACCTGTATCGCGTATTCCGTTCTCCATTAATTTGGTTGATTCGTTGTTGTGCACATAAAAAATAAATATACTTAATAATGATACAGGTCTAAAAGGAAGCCGAAAAAGGCAAAGCAATCTGTAGAAATACGAAATGCAAAAATAAAAGGTTTAGATTTAAACGGACACAGCTTAATGGGAGGTAGTGTATACTTAGCTGAGTTCAAAACATGCCCAAACTTAGCCTTTAATCTTACTCGTTTCTGAGATATAGGGTGTTTTATGATTTTTTGCCAAAATTAAAGTCGGCCATTTTGTTTGAACGAATAGAGATATTTTAATAAAATTTTGTACAAAAGTTACACTCTGTTAGGTTAATCAAAGCCATAATTTAATTTAAAAAAATTCTCTTTTTTATATTGCTTTTCTTAGCTAGAATATCACCCTGTATATCGGATTTTAATAAATGTACTTTACATTTAAATAGTACATGAATTAATAAATAAAATATTGTAATAATATTTAATGGCTTTCTTATAGTACATTTTTATAATGGCGACTACAATATTATAAATCAGTATTTACAATATTGAAATCAAATATTTTACTCTGTATTTTTAAAACTTTACACAAATTAGGTACTATATTCATTTATTTTTAACTACTGCATTTTTTAATAAGAAATTGAAAATCGTCACAGGATCGGACTCACTTTATTTGATAAAGTAACAGGACAAACTAACAAAAACAAATCATTAATTAAAACTAAAGTAGATTTTAAAAATGAACACCGTGAACGTCAATACACCTCTGCGAACGTTTTAACATGTTTTTCACTGATTTGTCAATTATTTCCGGTTTATTTCTAATGTGTTACATTATTAATTTTTTCCAATAACTATGATCGGGTATTCATTTCTTCGTTGTACTCCTCTAAATTAAAGTAGCCTCATAAAAATAATCCAGAGGTGTTAAATCTGGAGATCCTGGTGGCCGACCTATCCATCTATTTGGGAAACGTTGATTTAAATGGTCTCTGACCAGTATTGAAAATGAGGTCCAGCACCATCGTGTTGAAACTACATTCCTCTGGTATTAATCTCTTCGAACAAATTTGGCAGCATGTTTCTGAGGAAATTTAAATAAACTTCAGCTGTTAATCTGCCTTCAAAAACATGAGGACATACATTTATAGAAAATCTGTATTGGGAATGTTTTTGTGATACAATGTGAGGATTTTTAGTTGCCCAAATATGACCATTCCTAGTATTATTAATCCCATTACGTGAAAATTGCGATTCATCAGTAAATAAAATTCTCAATATTATCTTTCTGTGGACCAAAGTCTATCTACAAAAAGATAAGCGGGGTTCGTCGTCTCCAGGTTCAAGTCGATGTACTTCTGGTACATGAAATGGATGCAAAGTTTTCCATACTCTTGTTATCAGTACTGCTAATCATTACTAATTTTTCTTACACTGATAGAAGGGTTATTTCGAGCTATCTGTAGTATCTCCTCTTCTTGTCGAAGATTATTTCTCGTAGCACGTTCATATTTAATTGTAGTTGGAAACTTTTCATGTTGCTTAATGAATTCGAAAACCTGCGAAAATGTCTTAGAATTTGGTAAACGGCGATTGAGAAAGCGTTTGCGATACTCTCTTACTGCTGCTTTACTGTTTCCGTTACAAAAACCGAACACAAAAATAATGTCTTTATATTCTTCATTACTAAATTAAAACGGCATCCTGAAATACTTATTTTCATACCATTAGAAACAAAAGTAATTTACCGCAAAACACTGTACATGAAATAAATGGTATTATTTGACACAAGCCTGACTGAGTGATGGTGTACTTAATTTGGCGCATACTGGCAGTTGACTTAATTGAATTTTCAGCTCGTTTATAAAATACCTAGGTTTTGAACTTTTAAATTTGATTTCATTAGAGTTTTAGTTCGTTTAAATTTTATTTATTTAAATTTCCAAATATAATAAATTAAAGATGAACGTGGAGAGAGGAAATGAATGAGGTGGTCCGAAATCATCCTTCTGTTAGTGTAAGAATTAGTAATAAATAAGCAGTACCTAGTTACCAGAAACAAGTGTATGGAGAACTTAAAAAAAATAAATTTGTATCTATTTTATATACAAAAAGTACAGCAACTTGAACACACATAAAATGTTTAGTGTAGAATTTATAAAAATCACTTAATACCTGAGCCCAGTTATTGGGAAAAATTAATAATGTATGTAACAAAATTAGAAATAAACCGGAAATAATTGACAAATGAGTGTAAAAGGTTCGCAGAGGTGTGTTGACGCTTACGGTGTTCATTTTGAAAATCTACTTCAGTTTTAATAAATTATTTGTTTCTGTCAGTTTATTCTATTACTTTATTAAATAAAGTGAGCCCGGTCCTGTGTAGATGTAATGTAAAATGATGTAGTTAAAAAGAAATAAAAATGGTACCTAATTTGTGTATTCTTTTAAAAGTACAGAGTAAAATATTTGATTTTAATATTGTAAATACTGATTTATAATATTGTAGTCGCCATTATAAAAATTTACTGTAAGAAAGTCAAGATGGTGCCATTAAATATTATTACATTATTTTATTTATTGATCCATATTCTATTTAAATGTGCAGTAACATTTAATAAAATCCGATATACAGGGTGATATTCTAGCTAAGAAGAACAATATAAAAAAAAATCGGGTCCTGGAATTTTTTAAAATTAAATTATGGCTTTGAAGAACCTAGGAAAGTGTAACTTTTGTACAAAATTTTATCAAAATATCTCTAACCATTCAAACAAAATGGCCGACTTTAGTTTTGGCATAAAATAATAAAACCTATCTCAGAAACGACTAAAATGGCTAAGTATAGGGGTATTTTGAACTTAGCTAAGTGTACTTTACCTCCCATTAAGCCGTGTCCGTTTAATTCTGAAACACCCTGCATAAACCATAGAAACAAGTTAAGTCCAGCACATGCAACTGATCTGTTTCTAGTAAAAATAAACCGTCCCTCTTATTCTGGTAAAAACTACAATTGTTTTTTGTATTAAGGAATAAATGGGTAATGCAAATAATAACCAGTAGTAAAAGCCTTTAGGTCCTTAAATATGTATCTTTCATACTTATTTAGCTAATAGGTAAGTTGAACGTGAATCAAGGTAAACTGATTTTTCTTATTTTATCAAAACTCATTTTTGAGACATGCTATTTTTGAAATCAACGCATCATTTCTACTTCCATGTGTGATTGTTAGTTCTGCATGCAACTGTTTGATTTAATCTTCGTCTTAAGTTTTTTATTTCTCCGAAAGAAAAAATAATAGGTTGTATTTCAAAAAAATAGAACCAATTAAGCATTTATAGGTATGTCAACTATAATTAAGTATTTTATTTGTGATACATATTCCTTAGTTGGACATCTTTTGCAATCAAGACATGTTTATTTGAGTCTGTATTTAAACAACAATTAACCCAGATCGGTTTTGTCAAACGGAACATAATGACACTGTAATTCACACATAAAAATCCAAAAAAGTATATGGATTTAATAAAATCAGAATTCTATTTTTTACCTTAAGCATAATTAACAATTAATCTATTTTTTAATTAGGTAATTGTTTACTTACACTTTATTATAATATATAAATATAATAGAAAATACCTCAGAAAAAGGGTACTCCAGGCTTCCGAAGGCATCCCTGTCGAATTCCGAATAGAACTTGTTATCCAAGGCCTCTCCTTGAACTCAAAATTACAAATGTGATTACAATTATCCAGAAGACCTTGCTCTTGATGCTTCTCCATTTCCTCAACTTGTCTAACGAAGCTGCACCTTCTCTCCAGATTTCCATCCTCTGGTATAAAAATCTGCGGAAGCTGACTCTGAAGGGAAGGAGTGGAAAACAAAGGTAAATGTTGATGTTGGGGGCTATGGGGTAGAGCTGTCGTTGGAGTATTTTGTACTGGAATAGATATAGAAGGACTTTCTCTAATTTTCGAGCGATGATGAGGCTCTTTAAGGTGGTAATTGGAAGCGCTGTGTCGCCTCTCATTTTGAGGTGTTGGCTTTAAGGTACCCCTTTCTACTCGGGATAGTCTAGGAACTAGAGGATCAGTATAGTTTTGGAATTGTTTGGCTTGTGGTGGCCTCGAGGCTAGCTCTGTTGCCTTATTTTGCTTCTGTTGCTTTTGCTTATTTTGCTTTTGCTTTTGCCTGGCTTGTCTGCTTGCGAGCGAAGCGCCCCCTGCAGCTGCATACATAGTCTTAATTATGCAATTATTTCAACTTTTATTTCAAATAATAGCCTTGGTTAGGAAAATTGTGGTTCGTTTTAGTAGTAGGAAAATACATAAAAAACTGGGTTCGATACAAAAATATCATCGCGTCAGAAGTTATATCTGTGTTTTTTTTATAAAGAAGTAAGCTCAAGTAGATTTTTGATTTTTTTATAGTTTTGCTTCAAGTTACTTTGTACGTGTTTGTTTTGACTTACGTTACAATTATTTACAAACTTGATAAAGTTAGAGTTGGTTTCCTTCAGCAAATAAAAGGTTTCAACGAATATATCTTTAAACAATGCTTTAAAATTTTAACAATCTAAAAATATTATAAAATTTGCAATTAATAATCATGACGGACACCGTTTATGAATTAACAAATAACAATCAATCCGGCGTAAACACTAATTAAGTAAAAAATACTATGTTATAATATTGTCTGTTATTTTCAACTCAAAATAGATAGTAAGTATTGCTTTTGTGAATTTGTTTGAACTAAAAGTTTTGAACACTTCGTTTAATAGATTAACTGAGATGTGTAGCACATCCATTTTGGCTCTGGGTATTTAATTTTAGTTACTTTAATGTTTCATGACTGTGCTTAAAGAAAAGGAATATGGAAATTGGAATGGTGATTTATGGAAATTTTAGTCTTTTAGGAGAACTTGAGGACGAAGAAATACTCGACGAAATATTCATGGCGACTGTGCTGAAAAAGAAAATATAACACACAAATAATAAAGTAGAATTGTTATCTAGAGTTTCATTTACATTTAACTAATTTTTTGCTTGTTGCTTACAGCTTGCTTCTACTTCACATGCATTTGATTTTGGGATGCTTAAAACATAAAATGGGTTTAAAAACAGTATACCTGTGTACCTATATACAAGTCAATATTACTCAATAGAGTAGCTGTGCATCATTTTTTTTTTTGTTTAAAATATTTATCTAAAGAAATTAACAAATTTATCTATCCCCACTATCCAAAAGTGAAAACAAAGCAAAGAATAATTAAAAAAGCTGTGAAAACATAATTGCAGGTTTGATACCTAGCTATTAAACCTGCATATCCGAGTTAACTATTTGTCGTTCTATCAATTGAGCTACAAATAGGATTATTTACAAAATTTTTGAAGCCACCACGGAGTTCTTAACAGTATTAATGTATTCGTTGCATTGAGGTAGTATTATAGAGAAACGCGATCACGTGGTCAAAAATGGCATCAGTGCACCATATTGATGCAACACTTGCGTCAAAAAGCTGTCGCATTGTTGTGATTTCATTAATGTAATTTGTATTATAAAGTTTTCGTGTTTTTAGTTGGTTTTTGTGAGATATTTAAATAATATAATAAAAAACAATAATTGTTTTATGTGCTCTTCTCAACTGCAATAGCAAGAATGCAATTGATAAAAATAAATCGACAGGAATAACATTTCACGGGTTAGTATACAAAACAATAACAATAAACAGGATGGTATTTGAAAAATATATTTTAATATTTGGTTTATTTAAATAGTTTATGGGTTAACATATTTTACGGTAATTATTACATATACTTACGGATTTCTGTTATTTTATTATTGTTTAGATATTCCATTTTATGCTGTGCAAGTGTTCAATTTTGTCCATATAACAGAAAAATTACAGGAAACCGTATATGAAACTGTTAAATATTTTAACTAATAAATAAAGCCCAAATAACAAATGTTATAATTTCAGAAGAACATTTTGACAGTGAGTTAAATAAATTATTTGCCAGAGCCTTTGTCGGAATTTTTCAAATTTATTAGTGCATATATAGTGGAATATATTGTTAAATTTTTAAAGAAATATATCTGCTTTGACAAGAAACACGAGGGATTTGTATCTATTCTCGTTTATAGATCTTTATCTGTAACGTGTGAAGGGTAAGTTAACCCACGGCACTTAGGGCTCAATAGACCATTTGTACATCCTCCTAAGTAGATAGGCACCTGCTAGCTTGTGAGCCAGCCTACAGATTTAATATAGTTGACAACGTCGTCAAGAGGTGCTACTTTTATATCATCCGGTGTAAGCCAATTCTCGCCGAACACAAATCTTCTAATAAATGAGAGCGTCAGGAAATCATAGAGGGTATGCTCGATGGTTACATCTTCTTGTTCGCACCCCCTGCAGAGTGCGGATTCTGACAGCCTTATGATATGGAGATGCTTCCGTACTTGCATGGCAATAACCAGTCAGAATGCCTGTGATCAGGCGCAGATTCTGTCTAATCATAGTTAAGTATTTGTTTGATGTAGTGTTGTCAGGAACTTAAAAACTCTCTGGTAAGTTTGCATCTTTTTGTTTCATCCCATTTTTCCTCGAATTTCAGAAGGGAATGTTCTTTAATTAGGTTTGTCACTTGCGATTTGTCAGTCCAATAGAAGGGTCCGAAAAGTATTTGATTGGCTGCCTTCTTGGCTAGTGAATCAGCAAGACGGATTACCTTTAGATGTTGCATGAGCTTTGACCACATATTTAATGGATACTTCGTGACAATCTAGTACTAAGGCTGAGTAAATTCGTGGTCTGTCCAGGGTGAATAGTGCTTGTCTGCTATCTGTATAGATGAACATGTTCCTTTCAGTGATACTGATTCTGGTGATTTATTTTGATGCTACGATAATTCCCGTAAGTTCGGTTTGAAGTACACTAACACTAATACTATTGCTCATAGCCCATTTAATGTTTAGGTTTAAAGATCTGGAGTATATTCCATATCCCCTGCCTTGTTTTCTTTTAAAACTGTCGGTGTAGATATTAATCTTACCTACCACTTCCGAATCTTCTATTTATTCTGTCATAACTTTGTATGGCTTATGAAAGATATATCTCGGTGAGATAGGAACGTATCAAGCGCCTGTCGTTTGGAGTGGCAGTATTTTATTGTGGAATATAAAATAGCCTAGACAGGGAAGTAATACCTTTTTTATTCATGCCTCACTTGCTGTGCTTCCTAACAGATTTAAAGAGTGCAAGAAAAAAAGGGCCAAGTAACAATTACCAAAATGTTCACGAAAGCAAATACAAACTTTTGATACTTTGAGGTAATTGATTACAAAAAGATGTTACTTTGTATATATGCTACCTGATTATATTGTTAGATTCGTGCAATATTCAAGACGCCGCCACTGCCTAAGCCATACTTGTATCTTGGATATTGGATACACACACATACGCACTCGAGGAGTGGAAGACCGAAAAATCGAAAAGACACTTATGATTGACGTGGGATCCTATGCACACGTTTAACGCCCTCTAAATTTTAATTAATAATTATTGTTAATAACTTTCTTGGTATTAATACATTTTATAAGAAGTGAATAAGTGTTTAATTTGGTGAATGTTTATATTTGAATAAAAGACGTAATATTTTATTAAAAAAATCCAGTGGCTTGAATAAAATATAAACTAATGATTATTATGTGTGTGTGTGGTGTGTGGTGTGTGGTGTGTGGTGTGTGGTGTGTGGTGTGTGGTGTGTGGTGTGTGGTGTGTGGTGTGTGGTGTGTGGTGTGTGGTGTGTGGTGTGTGGTGTGTGGTGTGTGTGTGTGTGGTGTGTGGTGTGTGGTGTGTGGTGTGTGGTGTGTGGTGTGTGGTGTGTGGTGTGTGGTGTGTGGTGTGTGGTGTGTGGTGTGTGGTGTGTGGTGTGTGGTGTGTGGTGTGTGGTGTGTGGTGTGTGGTGTGTGGTGTGTGGTGTGTGGTGTGTGGTGTGTGGTGTGTGGTGTGTGGTGTGTGGTGTGTGGTGTGTGGTGTGTGTGTGTGTGTGTGTGTGTGTGTGTGTGTGTGTGTGTGTGTGTGTGTGTGTGTGTGTGTGTGTGTGTGTGTGTGTGTGTGTGTGTGTGTGTGTGTGTGTGTGTGTGTGTGTGTGTGTGTGTGTGTGTGTGTGTGTGTGTGTGTGTGTGTGTGTGTGTGTGTGTGTGTGTGTGTGTGTGTGTGTGTGTGTGTGTGTGTGTGTGTGTGTGTGTGTGTGTGTGTGTGTGTGTGTGTGTGTGTGTGTGTGTGTGTGTGTGTGTGTGTGTGTGTGTGTGTGTGTGTGTGTGTGTGTGTGTGTGTGTGTGTGTGTGTGTGTGTGTGTGTGTGTGTGTGTGTGTGTGTGTGTGTGTGTGTGTGTGTGTGTGTGTGTGTGTGTGTGTGTGTGTGTGTGTGTGTGTGTGTGTGTGTGTGTGTGTGTGTGTGTGTGTGTGTGTGTGTGTGTGTGTGTGTGTGTGTGTGTGTGTGTGTGTGTGTGTGTGTGTGTGTGTGTGTGTGTGTGTGTGTGTGTGTGTGTGTGTGTGTGTGTGTGTGTGTGTGTGTGTGTGTGTGTGTGTGTGTGTGTGTGTGTGTGTGTGTGTGTGGTGTGTGTGTGTGTGTGTGTGTGTGTGTGTGTGTGTGTGTGTGTGTGTGTGTGTGTGTGTGTGTGTGTGTGTGTGTGTGTGTGTGTGTGTGTGTGTGTGTGTGTGTGTGTGTGTGTGTGTGTGTGTGTGTGTGTGTGTGTGTGTGTGTGTGTGTGTGTGTGTGTGTGTGTGTGTGTGTGTGTGTGTGTGTGTGTGTGTGTGTGTGTGTGTGTGTGTGTGTGTGTGTGTGTGTGTGTGTGTGTGTGTGTGTGTGTGTGTGTGTGTGTGTGTGTGTGTGTGTGTGTGTGTGTGTGTGTGTGTGTGTGTGTGTGTGTGTGTGTGTGTGTGTGTGTGTGTGTGTGTGTGTGTGTGTGTGTGTGTGTGTGTGTGTGTGTGTGTGTGTGTGTGTGTGTGTGTGTGTGTGTGTGTGTGTGTGTGTGTGTGTGTGTGTGTGTGTGTGTGTGTGTGTGTGTGTGTGTGTGTGTGTGTGTGTGTGTGTGTGTGTGTGTGTGTGTGTGTGTGTGTGTGTGTGTGTGTGTGTGTGTGTGTGTGTGTGTGTGTGTGTGTGTGTGTGTGTGTGTGTGTGTGTGTGTGTGTGTGTGTGTGTGTGTGTGTGTGTGTGTGTGTGTGTGTGTGT